CTATATCTAATTTTGAACCGATTTTTACGAAACTTAACACATATCATTCTAGACTCAATTCAGTACGCTATGCTAAATTTCGTGTAAATCGAAAGATATATAGGGACTTTGGTGCACCATTTTTATTAAATCGGACGAAAATATATATGGGATCTGAACCGATTTTTCCCAATTTCAATAGGGTTCGTCCTTGGGCCGAATAAGTGTCTTATGCCAAATTTCATCCGGTTGATCGTTTACAAATATTGAAAGGCCTGTGGATAATAGTTTCGCTCGTTCCGCTGAAAATATTGCTGCTGTAAGTGAAAGTTTTTCCGAAGACTCGAATGTGTCGATTCGATAATTGAAGAGTTATATCCAGAAAAAACCCTGTTTGGTGGGTTTTTTTGGTTCGATGGTGTCAATTCGGAGCGTTATGGTCATATGATAACCAAACTGATATTGATGAATACTACTTGAGGAATATGTGGTTTCAAAAAGTCGGCGCAACATTCCACACAATTCGAGCGAACGTGGCATTATTGCAAGAGATATTTTTGGCCGCGTAATTTCACTGGGATTATGGGACTTTATTGTGGGGCTACGCGAACGACCGCGTTTATGCAGATAAACCTTCCACTCTCGAGCAAGTTATGGCTGAGATAGTATTAGAAACAAATATTCCTCACATTTATATCAGTACTATTGCCAAAGACACCACAAACCAAAAATTTAAGGATTTCGACAAATCTTAATCCGAATATTTTCAAATATCTTATATCTCCCGACCTAAACCATTCTATTTTCAACCCCTCTATCATATTTTTTGTTTTTGAATTTTACCATAATTATTTTTAGTTGCACAATAATTTTCTATGTGTAAACTCATTCTAGATATACTGTTCATCACAAATATATATATATATATAGCCAATTTTTTAACATAGCTGAAGCGGAGGTTCACCCCTTTATAACTCGGGAACTACTTAAGTATATGAAAAAAAGTGAATAGTTTTGCGTTAATTGATCTGTCCTTGCAAACTGTTTATGATGTTGACCTCCAAACTTTATCTTGGTGGAAGCTGTGTCTACTTTAATGTAAAACCAGTAAGGAAAGTAGTAAAGTCGGACGGGGCCGACTATATGATACCCTTCACCACTATGGGTATATTAAAGAGGACTATTAACATGAAATATATATGGGAGCTATATAGACCGATTTTCTCGAAACTTGGCAGACAACACTCTAGGCTCAATTCAGTACGTTATGCCAAATTTCGTGCAAATCGAAGGATATATAGGGACTTTGGTGCACCATTTATATGAAATCGGACGAAACTATATAAGATTTTCACGAAACTTAGCAAATTGCCAAATTTCGTGCAAATCGAAAGATATATAAGTACTTTGTGGCACCAAATTGCCAAATTTCGTGCAAATCGAAAGATATATAAGTACTTTGTGGCACCATTTACATGAAATCGGACGAAACTATATATGGGAGCTATATCTAAATCTGAACCGATTTTCTCAAAACTTGGCAGACATCACTCTAGGCTTAATTCAGTACGATATGCCAAATTTCGTGCAAATCGAAAGATATATAGGGACATTGGGGCACCATTTACATGAAATCGGACGAAACTATATATGGGAGCTATATCTAAATCTGAACCGATTTTCTCAAAACTTGGCAGACATCACTCTAGGCTCATTTCAGTACGTTATGCCAAATTTCGTGCAAATCGAAAGATATATAGGAACTTTGGGGCACCATTTACATGAAATCGGACGAACATCAGACAGACAGAGAGACATCACTCTAGGCTCAATTCAGTACGTTATGCCAAATTTCGTGCAAATCGAAAGATATATAGGGACTTTGGGGCACCATTTACATGAAATCGGACGAAACTATATATGGGAGCTACATATATCTAAATCAGGACCGATTTTCACGAAACTTGGCAGACATCACTCTAGGCTTAATTCAGTACGATATGCCAAATTTCGTGCAAATCGAAAGATATATAGGGACTTTGGGGCACCATTTACATCAAATCGGAGGAAACTATATATGGCAGGTATATATAAATCTGAACCGATTTTCTCAAAACTCGGCAGACATCACTCTAGGAACAATTCAGTACGTTATGCCAAATTTCGTGCAAATCGAAAGATATATAGGTACTTTGGGGCACCATTTACATGAAATCGGACGAAACTATATATGGGAGCTATATCTAAATCTGGACCGATTTTCACGAAACTTGGCAGACATAATTCTAGGCTCAATTCAGTACGTTATGCCAAAATTGGTGCAAATCGAAAGATATATAGGGACTTTTGATGCACCATTTACATGAAATCGGACGAAACTATATATGGGAGCTATATCTAAATCTGGACCGATTTTCATGAAACTTGGCAGACATCATTCTAGACCTAAATGATTAGGCTGTACCAAATTTCGTGCAAATCGAAAGATATATGTGGACTTTGGTGCACCATTTACATGAAATCGGACGAAACTATATATGGGAGCTATATCTAAATCTGCATTGATTTTCATGAAACCTGGCAGACATCATTCTAGACGTAAATGATTAGGCTGTACCAAATTTCGTGCAAATCGAAAGATATATAGGGACCGTTTACATTAAATCGGTTAAATATATATATGGGAGCTATATCTAAATCTGAACCGATTTTTCCCAATTTCAATAGGGTTCGTCCTTAGGCCGAATAAGTGACCTATGCCAAATTTCATCCAATTCGGATCATAAATGCGACCTGTACTTTGTTTACAATTTAACATGGACAGACAGACGGACAGACGGACGGACGGACGGACATGCATAAATCGACTTAAAAAGTGATTCTATGCATATTCTCAAAAGGAACCATGTGTCTATCTCGTTTCCTTTTGCCTGTTACAAACATATGCACAAAGACATAATACCCTGTACCACAGTGTGGTGAAGGGTATAAAAATGTGTAAAAACAGGTTGAGGCGAACCAGTTTTTTTATGTTCTCTATCGATTTGTGACTAAGCCACTCATTGCACGGTCTTCGTGTCAAAAGAAAACTAGAAGTCAACAAAATGGGGACTACGCCCCTTATGTATCATTTTTCAAAATTTTAACTGCATCTACCTTTAAATGATGCTGACATTTTGAAGCTCGATTTTGAGTGTTTTTTGAATTTTACTTCTAGCTTTAATACGCACACAGGAATTTCTAAAAATCGATTATAAGATTATTGTAGTCGCGAATCTGCGTAATTTGATATGTATTTTGTGTATGTAGTATGCACAGCTTCAGAGTAATACTCATCCGAAGGTGCGAATTTTGTGCGATCAAGTTTCTAAAAAACCTATTTTTCGGTCCAAATTTTTAGATCTGTCAACTGAATGATATGGGTACCCGCGATCAATAAGGTTTTTTACGTTTCGGATGATATAAAATCTTCTTCGTGAAAATCCATCTACTAGAACGGCGGGAACTGGCCTTCCAAAAACACGAAATTTGGCAAAAAATGTTTTTGAAAATATCGCGGATTTATTTGAGTTTTCTGTGTATTTCCGCTTCAATAAATGACCTCATACGGATTTGGATCTTTTTCGAAAAGAGAACTTTAAAAACTTCAGCCGAAAGAGAGATGTACGCAATTTATCTCAAAAATAGATTGTGCTGGCACATCCATGGTTCTTTATGGACCACATTGAAATGGTATAGATCGATGTATTTTTTTAGGGTGCACACCGAAATCGGATGCGCGTTAATGGCATATGGAGTTTTCGGAAATTATTCGCGATTTACGATTTTTTGGGTACTTCAATGTAACGTGTGGCACATCTTAGCCGTCAAATGAAATTTCGCAAAATATATATGGATTGGAAGATTAACTTCAGTACTTCCTGGAAACCGCATGCGCATCAAATGATTTTGTGAATTTCGCGATTTACACGCAATTTAAAATGTATATTTCATAATATTATTTTATTTTAACATTTATTCCTATTTATAGAATTTTAAGATTTATCGGAAGGGTCTTGATATAATCCGCAAGGCGTATACTTATACACAAAAAGTGATTATTATTATATATGTCAATTTTTCGGCGAAATTCGGGTAAAATAGCAGAATAACCCCAACATTTTTTTCTGAAATTTCTTGTATACAATTAAAAAAAATTAATATGATGACATTATTTTTTCGAACCAAAAACAAATATTTTTCCTCAATATCTTGTTTTGTTGTCGCTTTGATTTAGAAACCGCTACACGGACTTGTGTGATTTTGATATCATTTGATTCACCATCGTGTTTAGATTATGTACATATTTTTAAATTAATTTTTAGGATGATACATGACATTAATATAATGAAAATATTGATGTAATCTGATATACATACATATATATTTTTTATTTTTCTCATATTTTGCGAATATGTGCAACTTTATCGTGATTATTATAATATATTCATATTGTTATTTTACGGAGGAAGATATATATCAACGTTTGTGGTCAATATAATAAACGGCGTAATTTTAAGATTTTTTTCTTATGCCCAAAATTAAAACCTCGATAACTTTTGCGCGCATCAACCAAAAATTTGATCGCGAACGGTTTCGGAGTCAGAACATTTTTCTCTATATGTGTACCAAAAATCATAGATGTGCCACAAAAACAAAAAAGCTGATTTTTTGAAAATGGAATATTAAAAAATTGGCAATATTGCCCATATGTGTTTTATTTATGTTTACTTCTCAAACCACGAAATGGATAAGCGTGTATTTTACCTAAAGTGACTTATTACTTTTTTCAGATTATCGGCTTCATAAAGTAAATTTATAATTTCTTTAATTCCGTTATTTTATCAAATACATTTCTAAGTAATAATTTTCAGTTTTGGAGGTTCGTTTAACGCGAAACAAGTACCCCTTGACCGTCTGTCTCAATTTTCGTTTATTTGTTAATTGTTTTCTTTTTTTGTGTTGACAAAAATTATAAAATCATGAAATTGTTTAGTGAACTGAATAATTCCGTCAGTGAAGATGAGGATGAAGATATGGATGACGATGATGCTGAGGGTAAGAAAAAAAACGTTTATTATTGTTATAACTCAATTGTCTAAAATTCCCGCTTTATAACAGAGTCCCAAGAAGAACAAGCAGCAAACTCTCAGGAGGAAGACGACGAGGAGGAAGATGAAGATGGCGATGAGCTTGACGATGATGAGGATGAACCACCAGATGCCAGTAATGCTGCCGTAAATAAATCTTTGGGTGGTGGTAATAAACCAATTGTTTTGAAGAAACCCAACACGGCTGGCGGAGATGCTGCAGCCTCGGCTGGTCCTGGTGGTGCGCTAAAAAAGAAAACTCAGAACCCTAAAATAGCAAAACTTGTTGAAGAGGCCATCAAGTTTCTCAAGGAAAGGTCAGGTTCATCTTTGGTGGCCATTCGGCGTGTCATTGTCACCAATCATCCCAGCATGGAGCATAAACGTTTGGACATGCACATCAAACGCTATTTGAAGTCATGCGTCGATAACGGTACAATGGAACAAATAAAACGTTCCTTTAAATTTACCAAAAAATACGAAATCGAACGAAAGCGTTTGGAAAAGGAGCATAAAAAGCAAAAGGAACAAAAGGAAAAGGAGAAAATGAAAGAGAAGGTACTATTTTCATAGGAATGCGAATGTTTTTGAGGTTATGTTAAACACATTAATTTCATTTCATTTCAGAAAAAATCGACCAAAAAAACCGAAAAATCCAAATCTGGCGAAAAGAAGGCCAAGGCTAAAGGTGAAAAGGCAGATGATGCCAAATCCAAAAAACGTCCCGCAATTAAAGAGGGCAAGGGAAAACCAGCTAAAAAGGCTAAACTTGATAAACCGGCAGCTAAGAAGGCTGGAGCTAAAGCGAAGGCAGCCAAAGCAGGTGGCAAGGAAAAGACAACGGATGATAAAGCCAAGACCAAAATGAAACCACGTAAATCAATTAATCTATTGGTAAAACCAACACCGCCACGTCCCAAGACCATGAAGAATGCCAGTGCTGCTGCCAAGAAGAAGAAAGCTGCGGCAACAGCCACAGCTGCTGGAAAAACTGCGGTGGCTGCTGGTGGTGCCAGCACCTCCGCTGCTGCTGCTGCCGGCGGAAAGGGCAAACGCAAATAAATGTTGAATGTCGTTAAATTTTTGTTCTTTAAATTTTCGTATATTGTTTTATTTATTTCATGATTGTATAATTGTTAAAAAAAATAATTGTGTTTAATTCTATATTTCGTCATTAAAACATTGTTTTGAAAAATTATTTTATGTTTAATGTATTCTTTAAAAAAATAATTGTATCAACCTTTATAGAAAATGTGTCCTGCCTAAAATTTTAATATATTTATTACTAATTTTTAATATTTTATTTACTTATTTAATTTTGTTTACAACGCTTATTTAAAAAAATTATTTAATAAAACTTTTAAAAAATATATATAAAAAAAAAAAAAAAAAAAAAAAATATACGCCTCTAATAGGCCTTCGAAAAAATATTCTTTAACAAATCCACGCCTGTTATGATGGTCCTTGAAAAATATCCTTTAAAAAATCCACGCCTATAATAGTCCCTGAAAAAAATATTCTTTAAACCAGTAAGGAAAGTAGTAAAGTAGGACTGGGCCGACTTTATGATACCCTTCACCTCTTTGTACATATATGTATCCTTACAATTGTATATCAATGTGCGAAGGAACATACTCATGCCTTTCTGCAACCTATGGAACTGTTAAAAATTTAATCTCAATCAGACACCCGTTCGAAATACATATGGAAGCTATGGATGAATCTGCACCAATTTCAACAAAACGCAATAACGTCATTCAAGTCTCAATTTCATACGTTGTGCAAAATTTCGTGTTAATCGGATAAACATTAAGAGTGCACCATTTATGTAAAATCGGACGAATATGTATGTATATGTGGGAGCCATATCGAAATCTGAATCGATTTTCCCGAAACGTAACACACAACATTCTAGACGCAATTCAGTACCCTATGTCAAATTGCGTGCAAATCCAAGGATATAAAGGAACTTTGGTGCGCTTTTTACGTAAAATCGAACGAACTTTAATACACATCGTTCTAGACTCAATTCAGTACGCTATGCCAAATTTCGTGCCAATTGAAAGATATATGGGGACAAAAATATATTAGAAAGCTATATCTAAATCTGAACCCATTTTCAGAAAACTTAACACATATTATTCTAGATTTAATTCATTACGCTATGCCAAATTTCGTAAAAATCGAAACATATATTGGTACTTTGGTGTACCAATTACCTTAAATCGGACGAAAATATATATGGGAGCTATATCTAAATCTGAATCGATTTTCATGAAATTTAATAAACATCATTCTAGACTTAATTCATTACGCTATGCCAAATTTCGTGCCAATCAAAAGATATATGGGGTCTTTGGTGCACAGTTTACCTTAAATCGGACGAAACTATATATGGGAGCTATATCGAAATCTGAACCGATTTCCACGAAACTTAGCACACATAATTCTTGGCTTAATTCATTACGCTATGCCAAATTTCGTGCCAATCGAAAGATATATGGGGTCTTTGGTGCACCATTTACCTTAAATCGGTAATATGAAATATGAAACTATATCTAAATCTGAACCGATTTTCAAGAAATTCTACACACATCATTCTTGTTTCAATTTAGATCGCTATGTCAAATGTCGTGCCAATCGAAAGATATATGGCGACTTTGGTGCACAATTTACCTTAAATCGGACGAATATATATATATATATATATATATATACATCATTCTAGTCTCAATTTAGTACGCTTTGTCAAATTTCGTGCAAATCGAAAGATTTATAGGGACTTTGGTGGGAGATATATCTAAATCTGAACCGATTTTCAGAAAATAAAACACACATCATTCTAGATTTATATCATTACGCTATGCCAAATTTCGTGCTGATAGATATATGGGGACTTTAGTGCACCATTTACCTTAAATCGGACGAAAATATATGGGAGCTATATCTAAATCAGAATCGATTTTCAGGAAATTAAACATACACTTTTTTAGACCTAATTCAGTACACTATGCATAAATTTCGTGCAAATCGAAGAATATGGAGGGACATTGATGCACCATTTACATAAAATCGGACGAAAATATATATGAGAGCTTTAGATATAGCTCCGAACCGATTTTCAGGAAACTTAACACACACCATTCTAGACCTAATTCAGTACGCTATACAAAATTTCGTGAAAATCGAAAGATGTATAGGGACTGTTGTGCACCATTTACATTAAATCGGACGAAAATATAAATCTGAGCCGATTTTTCCGAATTTCAATAGGGTTCGTCCTTGGGCCAAATAAGTGAGCTGTGCCAAATTTCATCCAAATCGGATCATAAAGGCGACCTGCACTTTGTTTACAATTTAACATGGACAGACAGACAGACGGACGGACGGACATGCATAAATCGACTTAGAAAGTGATTCTATGCATATTCTCAAAAGGAATCATGTGTCTATCTCGTTTCCTTTTGCCTGTTACAAACATATGCACAAAGACATAATACCCTGTACCACAGCGTGATGAAGGGTATACAAAACGAAGCCCATAATAGTCCATGAAAAAATATTCTTTAAAAAATACACGCCTATAATAGTCCTGAAAAAATATTCTTGAAAAATCTCAAACTTTAAAAAATATGTTTTCTTAATCCACAATTTTCAGATTTTTTACAATATATTCAATTTATTTACAAAAGTTATTAAATATATAAACAAATATAATTATGTAAATATGAATATTTACAATAATTTAGTAATCATAAATATTATAATGGCAATCAAACCAAACCATGGAGTTCGGACTCGCATTGCTGCACCAGGCATACATTCACCTTCGTTTAAAACGAAAAATCCCACCTTACAGTTGCATTCACCATAAACACAATCCATTGATTGTTGAGATTCATTGCTTAGCTGTCGCTGATAACAATCTTCGGAGAAACGACAATATTGTCCTCTTTCCACAATTGGTGTACAAACGGTGTGTTTAACACCCGTATCGGTATATTTCTTTTCTTCGGCATAATATTTTTCATCACACTGGCATGAACCGTCCAGACAGCGACCACCTAAACCCATTGACGCGATACATTGTTGATTGCCGCTACATTCTTCCAAATATTCGGAAATCCGTTGACAACGTGTATTGTCCGACGAGGCAATATAGCCCTCAACACATGTACAATTGTGGGTGCGCTCATTACAACGAACATTATCCAAAAAGGTTTTTAAACATTCGGTATCGTTGTGGCATTCAAATTTTGGACCTGTCGAAATAGAAATTAAGTTAAAAAATAGCAATAAAATCAGGTACTGCCTTCATGATCGGGAAAATATGTTAATATTAAAAACGCCGATATTCTAACCAATTATATTTCTATTTCTCTTTGTCTCTATTGAAAAAAAGACTTTCTCTTTAACTTTTTTCATTTAACCTACCAACAATGGAAACACATTTCCCAGCATCATGGATAAATAAATCCATACACATGCACGTTTCGGATTCTTTGTGGCAAATGGCATTGTAATCACCCCTTTGACATTGCGAATCGAGTTCACATCTTTCCCCAAGCATAGCTTTTTCTGTTTTGAAAAATGTTGGAAAAACAAAACATAACATTATTAAAAGTTTCTACAATGCTACACAGATATGTATGTATGTAATATTGTTTCCTAATTAATATTAGAACGTACTTTTTATACAGCGTCTCTTATCCATGCTGGGCATATAGCCGGCGGCACAATAACAAGTATCATGTTTGGTATCACATTCAGAAAAATCCATTTTACATGGACATGGGCTGCCAATAATATTGCCTAGTTTGCGGTCCTGGTGGGAATGAAAACAATAGGTGTTTAAAAAATAATCTTTAAAAAATCCACGCCTATATAATGACACGAAAAAATATTCTTTAAGAAATCCACGCCTATATACGGAAACGAAAAAATATTCTTTAAGAAATCCACGCCTATATACGGAAACGAAAAAAATATTCTTTAAAAAATCCACGCCTATATAAGGACACGAAAAAATATTGTTTAAAAAATCCAAGCCTATATTAGGTCACGAAAAAGTATTAAAAAAAAATCCACGCCTATATTAGGCGTCTATGTGGGTACATTCCACATAGTCTCCTAACAGACGTCGCCTTTTCGTCGCTGCATAGCATACCATTATACACTGCGCTAAATTTCGTGCATATCAGAAGATATTTAGGGACTTTGGCGCACTATTTACCTTAAATTGGACGAAAATATATATATGTGAGCTATATCTAAATCCGAACCAATTTCAACGAAACTTAGCACACATCGTTCTATACTCAATTCAGTATGCTGTGCCAAATTTCGTGCAAATCGGAGTATATGTGGGAACTTTGGTGCACCATTTACCTTAAATCGGACGAAAATATATATGGGAGCTATATCTAAATCTGGTTCGATTTTCACGAAACTTAGCACACATCATTCTAGACTTAATTGAGTAAGCTACGCCAAATTTCGTGCAAATCGGAGTATATGTGGGGACTTTGGTGCACCATTTACCTTAAATCGGACGAAAATATATATGGGAGCTATATCTAAATCTGGTTCGATTTTCACGAAACTTAGCACACATCATTCTAGACTTAATTGAGTAAGCTACGCCAAATTTCGTGCAAATCGAAGGATATTTAGGGACTTTGGTGCAACATTTACCTTAAATCGGACGAAAATATATATGGGAGCTATATCTAAATCTGAACCGATTTTAACGAAACTTAGCGCACATCATTATAGACTTAATTGAGTACGCTACGCCAAATTTCGTGCAAATCGAAGGATATTTAGGGACTTTGGTGCAACATTTACCTTAAATCGGACGAAAATATATATGGGAGCTATATCTAAATCTGAACCGATTTTCACGAAACTTAATACACACCATTCTAGACTCAATTCAGTATGGTATGCCAAATTTCGTGCAAATCGAAGGATATATAGGAACTTTGGTGCACCATTTACATAAAATCGGACGAAAAAATATATGGGAGCTATATCTAAATCTGGACCGATTTTCACGAAACTTAGCACACATCATTATAGACACAATTCAGTACGCTGTGCCAAATTTCGTGCAAATCGAAAGATATATGGAGACTTTGGTACACCATTTACCTTAAATCGGACGAATTTATATATGGGAGGTATATGTAAATCTGAACCGATTTTTCCCAAAGGTTCGTCCTTGGGCCAAATAAATGAGATGTGCCAAATTTCATCCAAATCGGATGATAAATGAGACCTGTACTTTGTTTCCAATTTAACATCAACAGACGGACGGACGGACATGCATAAATCGTGTCAGAAAGTGATTCTATGCATATTCTCAAAAGCAACCATGTGTTTATCTCGTTTTCTTTTGCCTGTTACAAACATATGCACAAAGACATAATACCCTGTACCACAGAGTGGTGAAGGGTATAAAAATCCACTCCTAATATAGGCCTTGACAAATATTTTTAAAAAATCCCCTGAAAAAATGTTTCTTACTTACCGCCGGTTTACAGTCAACGCGTTCTCTTTGCCCGTTAATGCAATGGCAATGTCCCTCAAGGCAATCTGCCTTGATGCCACTGTGTTCGAACTGGTTGCATTGTTGTTTCTCTAAACAACTAAGTTCAAGTAAATCTGCAATCAATATAAATATCATATTTTTTATTCGAAATTATAAAATCAGCTAAATTTTCAAACTTACCATTACTTGATGCAAAATGCACAATGTAACCAATCAGGAATAAACAAATTATTAAATATGTTTTCATATTTTTATTGTTAATTTTGTTTCCACCTTTTTTTCAATTGTTGCGCTGAAAACTTATTGACGGCGAATGACACAGAAAGACAGGGAACATCAACCGTCTGAAACAAATAACGGCTACTGTTTATTTGTCTCTTTGTTTATTTTTGGCACTCCTTTCATTTCACTCAATTAGAATATTGACCCTACATAGGAGAAAAACATTGCGTTGGATACCGGGTGTTGAGGCGTTTTGGTTGTTATTGATTGTATTAAAATGAGGGAACAAAGGAACGATGAGTATGAAACAAAAATTATTGAGCAATGCGTGATGTTCGACAAAATTGAAAAATTAGAATCAATGCATAAAATTATCGACCTTAAAAAAAATCATGCCTATTGTAATGACAAAATATTCTTTAAAACAGTGAGCGGAGCAGTAAGTCGGACGGGGCCGACCATACGATACCCTACACAACTACCATGGAACTCTAACTTTATGCGGATGTTTATTCCGAATCTGGGTAATATTTTGTGCTATTTGCCCCCTTTTGTCTGATTAGAGGTCAACCAGAACATTTTCCTTACATTTTCGAATATTCAGTACATCCTTGACCACAACTGGAACTTCACGGAAAATTTCAAAGCGATCAGCGCTATATTTCCGCTCTCTAATTTGGTAATGGGTTACTAAATAATATCTGAAAACGTAAGCACCTGCAAATATTTGAGTGTAACTCCCACATCCGAGTACATACGACAATATAATTGGTATCAATTTAATGGTCAACCACTCCTCTTGGATATACTATCAACTTCTCTGCTATATGTCCTTTAGGGGAAAATATATACGCTATAGAATACAAATTTTGTAATTTTTTACACAAAAGTCAGGGTGCATTTGACCCGCTTTTTACCGTTTTTTTTTTACCGATCTTTATTAAAACAGGCATGCTTATTCTTTGGCCCGGTCCCCTTCTCCATGTAAAAATTCGAGTTGTTTGGGCCATAATTGCGGCCTCTGGAGCGACCAGAAAACCCGACAAAAATTAAGTATTTGGTCCATTTCATCCCCTAAATATTAACCGATCTTTACCAAAAACAATAGGGGTCTTCATAGGCCAGAACTCATCCTACATGCAAAATTTCGTGAAGATTGGTCCATAACTGTGGCCTGTATCGTGTTTACAAATTATAATGGACAGACGGACGGACACACATGTCTAGATCGACTCAGCTAGTCGAGATATGACGATCGGTATACTTAAAGGTGGGTCGAAGACCAATATTTCGCGGCTTTACAAACTCTTGGGGCTGCACAAAGCTATAATACCCTGACAACATAGTTGTGTAGGGTATAAAAATTCACACCAATAATAATGAAAAAAGGTGGCGTAGGGGATGATAGATACCAAGCAAAGGCTCTGATTGGCTTTAACATGGCTAAGTCCAGGCTTATCTTGGTGCCTCTTTCATCTCATATGTGTACACTCACCCTCCCCGTGTTGTCACCTGAGGTAGCTATTTTCACCACCCGTTGAAATAGAGACCTGATATGTGTCGCGAGTTCACCCCATAAGAACTATAAAAAATTGAAAAAGAAAACCAAACCCCCCTAATGTTGACGACCCCCGAAAACGTATAAAGGAACACAATCTGCGAATCTGCACTTGGAATGTGCGCACGTTATACAGAACAGGCGCCTTGGCGAAGTACAAAACCGACATTATTGCCTTACAGGAAATGCGATGGAATGGGACTGGGAGCACAATGGCAGAGAATGACAGACTGCAGCAAAAGCAACACTTGGGTACCAAAAACCACAAGAAACCCATGATACGATCAGGAGTGTCGTAATTCTACTGATGTGAAAAACACAGCGTATAGGGCAACCCTGCAGACAGTAGCAACACGTAATGTGATGGAGAATTATCGGGAGAAAATGAGAGAGGAGAAACGTGTTTTTAGAAAAAAAAGAAAGAACAAGAAAAACGTGAGCAAATGAGCTATACAGGAGTCAGAATGAAGTCCGGAAATTCTACCAACGAGTAAAACACGAAACCGAAGCTTTTGGGGCAGGCACATCCCCCTGTAGAGATGAAGAAGGAAACCTGATGACAGGAGCATTTTGGAAAACTTCTGGTATCAAATAGTAACGTTGAAGAAGATACCCCAGAACCTATAATAGATGACCATCTAGCCAAAATGAAGTCAGAATAACAATCAATGGGCTGAAGAATAATAAAGCAGCAGGTGCCGATGGGTTACAAGCCGAACTATTCAAGACTGGTGATCAGATGCTGGTCAGGAGCATGTACCAGCTGATAAGAACAATTTGGTAGAGGAATGCATTCCCAATGATTGGAACTTCATCATCCTGTGTCCCGTGCACAAAAAAGGAGACAAGACGATATGTGCCAACTATAGAGGAATAAGTCTCCTTCCCATCGCATATAAAGTGCTATCCAGTGTGCTGTGTGAACGACTGAGCCAATGTTCAATGGCATTATTGGACCATACCGATGCGGCTTCAGACCTGGCAAATACACCGTTGACCAGATTTTCACTTTGCGCTAAATCCTGGAAAAGATCCACGAAAAACACATCGACACATTCCAACTATTCGTCGACTATAAAGTCGCATTTGACAGCCCTATCCGTTCAGAGGTGTTTAACGCCATGTCTGCGTTTGGCATTCCTGCAAAATTAATATTGATATGCAGAATAACTCCAAGTGACATAAGGTCAGCAGTTAAATTCGGAAATGACCTATCCGATGACCTATCAATACCGAACGAGGTTTCAGACAAGGTGACAGTTTGTCGTGTGATATTTTTAACATCCTTATGGAAAAGGTCATACCAGAGGCAAAGGTGAACAGAAATGACACTCTGAACACCAAACAACACATGTTACTCGCCTACGCCGATGACATCGATATAATGGGTCGAACATTGAGAGCGGTAACAGCCAGCTTTGAGAATGAGTCTGCCAAAGTGGGTCTGGCAGTAAATGGCGAGAAGACCATGCTGATGGTATCAACGCGCAAGACGTCCAGTAGACTCGGACCAACTGTGGAACTACAGCTTCGATGTAGTCAAAGATTTTATATAACTTTGTACCGCCATAAATAAAACTAATGACATCAGTTTTGAAATTCGGAGAAGGATTTTGTAGGCCAACAGATCTGAGTAAGCAACTCAGAAGCAAGGTCACCTCGCGGCAGACCAAACTCTACAAGACGCTGATACTACCCGTGCTATTATATGGATCTGAAGCAAGCAGATGAGGAGTGTTTGAGAGAAAAATTCTACGAAAGATCTATGGGCCGATCTGCGTTGTAGTCTGCAGCTACTACGTTGGCTAGGTCGTGTTGTGAGGATGGTTGAAGATGCCCCAGCCAAAAAGACATATAAAAGCGAACGAATAAGATGGAAAGATCAAGTGGAAGACATCATTGCCGAACATGATCTTTCAAACTGGAAAACCTGCGTAATAGACCGAAGCGCCTGGGATTTTTTTTAATTCAACGCCGATAAATATCTTTGAAAAAATATTCTTTAAAATATCCGCGCCTATAAAGATCTCTGAAAAAATATTCTTTAAAATATCCGCGCCTATAAAGATCTCTGAAAAAATATTCTTTAAAAAATCCACGCCTATAAAGATCTCTGAAAAAAATATTCTTTAAAAAATCCACGCCTATAAAGATCTCTGAAAAAAATATTCTTTAAAAAATCCACGCCTATAAAGATCTCTGAAAAAATATTCTTTAAAAAGTATTCGCTGAAAAAAGTATTCTCAAAAAACCCACGCCTATTACAGTTCTCGAAATTGTATACTTTAAAAAATCCACGCCTATTACAGGTCTTGAAAAAAAATTCTCTCCTATAATAGTCCCTGAACAGATATTCTTTAAAAAATCCACGCCTATAATAGTCCCTGAAAAAATATGCTTTAATAAATCCACAGTTACATCCTGAAAAATATTTTTTTTAAATCTACGCCCTGAAAAAATATTCTTTAAAAAAATATCAACGCCCATAATAGACCTGGAAAAAATATTCTTTAAAACAACAACCTGAAAAGGCAATCCTTCGCCTTTTTAAAATTTACAATAATTTCAATATAATCCAGACTCCCAATGGATATTTAAATGTCATTATTAAAAAAACTGCTTTAATGACCTTATATGAAAATCCCTGATTTAATTGAATCTCCCAATCACATGCTGATAAATTCTGAAAAAAAATAAAATCAGAAGGATAATCTGCAACCTTTTTGGCAGAAAATTTATATTTTTTTTGTTTTGCTTTATGTTGGTGGGTCAACAATATAACAAACACGAACCAGGGGTAAAATGTTAAGTAAGGTGTTAGACTGGTTTTTAACACTTGATCCCGAACAGATATCCCTCGGGTCGGTCATTTGATTTGAACTTTAATTTTTTTCGGTATGGCAAAATCACCAATAAGCTCCCTCCCTGCTTTGGGGTTGAATGGAACGGGGAGAAATTCCTTTATCAAACACATTGAAGATTTATCCTTATTTCAATCCCCTTAAATAACTTAATAAAGGAGAGGAATTTATCAGCATAACCAAACCCAAAGGAAGACAAAAACATTGGTTTGGAAAATTCAAAATTAAAGTTGGGTGTTAAGCGTTAAACCCACCCAGGAGCAAAGAGCAGGATTTTTAAAAAGTTATCTTAAGGAAAACCACCTGCATGTAGCTTTAACAAGGCCAACTAGCCTAACTTAAGGAATTTCTAATAAAGTAACTTTTTTTTGAGGGATTTCTCCCAACTCCTTCCTTCGTTGATGTTGCTGTGGCCGATTTTCTTGCCGTTCCATCAAAGGTGGGTAATAATCTGGTCTGGCCTTTCTTTCGTTAATATCTTAAAGTACGGTCTA